TATCTGTATCTGTGTGACAGCAAAAATGTTGACAGGTTTGTGTGTATGTGTTTGTGTGTGTGCGCGTGCGTGCGCGTGCGTGCGTCCGTGCGCGTGCGTGTAAATACGTTTGTGCGCTTGTCTGTATGTGCGTGTGTGTGTGTGTTTGTGTGTTTGTGACTTTTAGTTTTTCCCTGTTCGTGTATTATTGTGCTTGTGTGTTTGTGTGTATGTGTGTGCTGTGTGTTTGTAGGTTTGATTGTTTGTGTTTTGTGTGTTTCTGTGTTTCTGTGGTTGTGTGGTTGTGTGGTTGTGTGGTTGTGTGGTTGTGTTTGTGTGTTTGTGTGTTTGCGTGTTCGTGTGTATGTGTGTATGTATTTATGTGTATGTGTATATTTGTTTATGTGTGTATTTGTGAGTATGTGCGTGTGGGTTCGTGCGTGCGCGCGTGCGTGCGTGAGCGCGCGTGCGTGCTTCCATGCGTGCGTGCGTGCGTGGGCATGCGTGCGTGCTCGCGTGCGTGTGTATGCGTGTGCGTGTGTGTGAGCGTGTGTGTGTGTGTGCGTGGGTGTACGTGTGCGTGTGCGTGTGCGTGTGCGTGTGTGTTTGCGTGTGCGTGTGTGTGTTTGCGTGTGCGTGTGCGTGTGCGTCTGCGTGTGCGTGCGCTTGTGGGTGTATGTGGTGTGTGTAGTGTGGGTAGTGTGGGTGTGCGTTGGTTGTCTCCGTGTGCGTGTGCGTTGGTTGTGTGCGTGTGCGTGTGTGTGTGTGTGTGTGCGCCTGTGTGCGCGTGGCGTGTGCCCGGCGCCGCCCCGCCGCGGCCTGGCCCCGCTCTGAGCGGGCCCAGCCTCCGTCTCCCTCCCGCCCGCGCCAGGCCTTCTCTTTCCTCCTCACGTGCGTCGCGGCTAAATTAGCAATTCTATGCACTACATGTGCCCCATCCGCCAGCGCAGTCATTCTGCCTAGCCGCCGACGCAAAAATCTGCGCGAGTGTGTGCGCGTGTTTGCGTGTGTGGTGTGTGCTAGCGTGTTTGTGCGTGTGTGTGTGTGTGTGTGTGTTTGTGTGAATGTGTGTGTGCGTGTGTGTGTCTGTGTGTTGTGTGTTGTGTGTTGTGTGTTGTGTGTTGTGTGTTGTGTGTTGTGTGGTGTGTGTTGTGTGTTGTGTGGTGTGTGTTGTGTGTTGTGTGTTGTGTGTTGTGTGTTGTTTGTTGTGCGTTGTGTGTTGTGTGTTGTGTGTTGTGTGTTGTGTGTTGTGTGCGTGAATGTGTGTGTGTGTGCGAGTGCGTGTGTGTGTGTGCGCGTGTGTGTGTGTGTGTGCGTGTGTGTGTGTGTATGTGCGTGGGGTGCGTGTGTGTGTGTGTGTGTGTGTGCGTTTGTGCGTGTGTGCGTGTGTGCGCGTGTGCATGTGCTGTGTGTATGTGTCTGCGCGTGTATGCGTGTGTGCGTGTGTGTGTGTGCGTGTGCGTGGGTATGTGTGTGCGTGTGTGTGTGTGCGCGTGTGTGTGTGTGTGTGCGTGTGTGCCTGTGTGTGTTCGTGTGTGAGTGTGTGTGAGTGTGCGTGTGTGTGCGTGTGGGGTGCGTGTGTGTGCGTGTGTGCGTGCTCGTTTGTGTGTGTGCGTGTGTGTGTGTGTGTGTGCGTGAGTGCATGTGTGTGCGTGTGAGTGAATGTGTGTGTGTGTGTGGGGGGGGTATGTGTGCGCGTGTGTGTGTGTGTGCATGTGTGTGTGCGTGTGTGTGTGTGTGTTTGTTTGTGTGTGCGTGTGTGTTGTGCGCGTGCGTGTGCGTGTGCGTGTGCGTTGTGTGCGTGTGTGTGTGTGGGTGGGGGGGGGGTGCGTGTGCGTGTGTGTGTGTGTGTGGTCAGATTGGGGATGCCGCTCAAGCGGGAGCCCCCCTCGTGGTCCATCGCTGGGCCCTGTCCTTCCCCCCTCCTCCACCGTACAGGCTGTCATGCCGTCCTCTGCTTCTCCAGGATGGCCTTGCCCCTCCCTTTTGTTCTCGCCGCAGCTCGCCGCGCACGCGCCTCGTCGTCCACCCGACCGCTCTTGTGGGACGCAACTCGCCGCAGAACAAGAATCGGGAGGGGAAAAAACACACACAGACACAATGAATCGTCGATTCCCAGGAAAAGATGGGAAAATATGGGAAGTGGGGGGGAAGACAAAAAACCCGAAAATATGATAAACATATTTGTGTGTATTTATTTGTGTGTCCTGGGGCCCCTTCAAAAAAGTCCCCCGAAGAGCTGCAGCGTTCGGAGGAGGAGGAGGAGGGAAGGGTGAGCAAGGGCGAGGAAAGGCAGAAAGGGGCAGAGGGAGGAAGTCGACCAGGGGTCGGCTGGACCGACCCCCGCGGCCGGCGATCGATCGCCGCCGGCTGTCTGGCCTTCGTCGTCGTTCGTCGGCTCTTGGAGGGTTCCCTCGCGTCGCACTCGGCAACAGCGCGCGGCCGCCCGCGGCACGGAGGCGGAGCCGACCGCGGAGCGGCGGGCGCAGCTCCCGGTGCCCAGCGTCGAGAGGCCGGAGCTGCGGCGGGCCCAGCGCGATCCCCCGGCAGCGACCCCGCCGGCGGCGGAGTGCGGGCGTTGCGCAGTGGGTTCGGGCAGTGCCAAGGGGGGTCATCACTGGGGGGGTCGCCAGCTTCTCCTGGAAATCGAGGTTCCAGGATGGAGAGTCGAGGGGTCGAGGATGTTCTTGGACGTTTCTTTGCGTTTTCGGGGCTCTGGGGGGCCCAGTTCCTCGAGGAAGTCTCGAGGAAGTGGCGTTTCCTCGAGGAAGTGGCGACCCCCCTAGTGGTGACCCCCCTTTGCACTGCCCCATGGGTCGAGACTTCTGTGGGTCCACGTTATGGAAAAATCGTGGCGTCGGGGGTCTGGGCCTGTGTCGGTCGCATCGGCCCTGCAGATCCCGCTTGCTGGCGCTCCGCCTTTCGCCCCGCCCTCCCAGCGCCCTGGCGCCTCGTTGCTGTCGGCTCTCCACCCCGCCGCCGTCCCCGTTTGGGCGCGGCATCTTGCCGCTCCCACCGCCCGCCTGACTTTGGCGCGATACTTGCTTGCTGCCGCCTCCGCCCCGCGTGCCCCAAAAGGGGCACGGAGGGGGCTGTGAAGAAAGGTGCACCCGTTGTGCCTCAAAGGCGTCCCCTGGGGCCCAAAAGAGGCACGGAGGGGGGGGGGAAGAACGGTGCTGAAAGGCTCCCCAAGGGCCCAACAGGGTCACGGAAGGGGGGTGTTAAGACAGGTGCACCTGTTGTGTTTTCAAGGGCTCCCCTGGGGCCCAAAAGGGGCACGGAGGGGTGTGTGTGTGTGTGAAGAATGGTGCACCTGCTGTGCCCGAAAGGGGCCCCCTGGGGCCCAAAAGGGACACGGAAGGGGGTGTGAAGAAAGGTGCACTTGTTGTTCCCTGAAGGGGCCCCCGGGGGCCCAAAAGGGATACGAAAGGGCTGCACGTCTCCACCGCCCCCCTTAGTTGTCGCCCACCCATTTGAAGCAACGCCCAGTGCACGCGGCGTTTCCTCGCCCCCCCCTCCCGTCCCAGAGATCCGAGGTTTCGAAAAAGTTGAAGCGGCCAATCCTTGGGCTATTCTCGGCCTTCGGGAGCCCTCAACGGCCCCAGGTCGACCGTCAACCAAAGCATTCAGGACGAAAAACTGGCCTTAGGGAAGTGGTCCAGACCTCGGGGAGTCCACGCATCGAAAGAATTAGGGCGCCAGACCTCCGGCAGCGCCCGCCGTCGGCTTCGTCGCCGTCGTCGCCGTCGTGGTCGGGAGTGTCCGGAAGGGTTGCAGAGGCTCTGGAAGGCTTTGGGGGACCTGGCGACCCCCTGGGGGACTTGGGAGGCCTCCAGAAGCGGTTGGTCGGACCCTCCAGGGCGACTGCACGAAGACCGCTGGGAGGCCCAGGCCGACGGCCGCGCGTTCCCCCCATCTCCCGTCGTCTTCCGCTGAGCTCCGTGCGTTGCACTACTCACACATTGGGCGTTTTCGCCCCAGTTTAACCCAAGGGCTTTCACAGAGTCATCCCGCTCGAAAAATGCTGCAGAAGGTTCGGGTCTAGGCTCCCCGGCCGTGACTTTTCCATTAGTAAGCAGAAGTCAGGCAGTGGTGACTTTGACTTTCTTAGGCACTCTCCGCCTACTCTTCCTCGTCTTCCTCCGCCACCTGGATGACTTCTCCCTCCTACTCCTCCTCTTCCTCTTCCACTTCCCTCCCTGCCTCCCTCCCTCCTCCTCCTCCTGCCTCCTCCTCCTCCTCTTCCACTTCCCTGCTCCACTCCCTCCTCCCTCCTCCTTCCCTCCTTCCTCCTCCTTCCTCCCTCCCTCGCTCCTCCCTCCGCCGCTCTCCTCTCCACTGCCTACCCGTTCCTCGCTGCCCCGCTCCCTCCCATCACCACCCACCTCCCTCCTCCCTGCTCTCTCCTCCTCCTCCTCATCATCCTCCTCCTCCTCCTCCTCCTCCTCCTCCTCTTCCTCCTCCCCCTCCTCCTGCTCACTCCTCACTCCTCATATGTACTCCGTGTAAGTCTATGCCCCCACTCTGCCACCAAACAGACCGATAGGGGTCGTATCCGAACTGCTCCATCCTACCAAGCAGAAGAATATAATGTCAACGCGTGTTTCCTCACAGCATGTACGTCTTGTAGTCGGCGTTGCAAATTGCGTGGCAAGAAAAGAACGCGGCGCACACCGCGCGAGAGCGTGCAAAATGTCGCCCTCGCCCTCGCTTCGGGCGCGGCGCACATCTTCCGCTCACCAAATTGTCAGAGTCGGAACCGCGCCCGGGAGAGCGAAATATGGCTTTCGCGGTTCTCGCGCAGGCGCCGCATACGTTGTTCATGAAAGGCGCGGTCCCGCTAGGGCGGAGCGCATGTTTTTCGACCGCCAATCCTTTGGAAACTTGGTCGCGCGCCCGCGATCGGAACGTTGCTCTCTGCTCATCTTCTCCCCCAGTGGTGCGGTCACGCTTGGGCACGGTGCCTTCCCTTTTTCTCGCCGTACCAACGGAAGCGGAGCCATGCGCCCACGCGAGCGCCTTCCGCTCGCTGAGTGGGAGCACGCGCCGAGCCCAACTTCATTTTAGTGCCAGCAGTGATTCGCGTGCTGAGGCGGGAGGGCGAACGTGGACGGGGCCAGCTGACTCGTTCGAGCTGGCTGACTTGACTCATGCACCCACCCTGCCTCCTTGCCAGCCGATTGGAATCATACCGGGGTGAGTGCATCCTACCAGCCCAGAGCAATATAAAGTGCACGCTGTTGTTCTCAACATTGAGTGTCTGTGGCTGGCGTTCCAACATGCTCAGCCGGAGTGAGACGGCCGCGCTCACTTCTCCTGAAACACGAGCTCCGTCTCAGGCGCGGCGCACAGGTTCCGCTCACCTCGTCGGAATCAGGACCGCGCGTGGGAGAGCGAAATGTGGTTCTCGCATACAGTCGAGCATCTGATTCAGAAACCTTCTCCCGAAAAGCTGGGCCAGCGTTCCTTGACCGACTTGCTGGAAAGCTGGCCCAGCTTCTTGAGCACAGTCGCCCCTTCGGCGTGAACGGCAGAAATAGGCCCAGGCTTGCCTCAAGAATTATCCAGGAAGTTGGCCCAGATGTCTTAAACGATACTTGTCTGAATCATATGTTCGGCTGTATACGCCGTGGAGTTGTTTCTTGAATCATGCGTTCCTGTTTGGGCGGCGCCTGTTTTAGACAGCCAATACGACTGGGAGCTTGGCGCGGCGCCAGCGATCGGAGTGTCATTCTCCCCCAGGTTCTCCCCCTGGGGTGCTGTCCCGCTTGGGCACGACGTTTTTTTCTTCGCCAAATCGTCGGAAGTGGAGCCATGCGCGCACGCGAGCGCCCTGCGCTCGCATTGTGGGAACACGCGCCAAGCCCCATTTCCACGTGTGCCAGCATTGATTCTTGTGTCGTGGGAGGGAGGTTGGGAGTGGATTGGGCCCGCTGACTCGCTCGAGCTGGCTGACTTGACTCCTACCTCCCCCCCCATCCCTCCCTTTCTGTCCTCCCCCCCGCCCCTCCCTCCCCCCTCATCATCCCTCCCATCCTCCTTCCTCTTTCCCTGTGTCTGCATGACCGGGGCATCGTGCCTCGTGGTCGCACTTTCCAGTCGAATCCACATTCGTCGGATTCGCCCGTGCGTAAACTGGCCCAGTAAAGAATGAGGAGAATGACTGAACAACACAACGTGTCTTGCAGCTGCTTGGCCCAGAGGCTTGCGGACCGCCCTTGTCGTCCTGGCGGTCGGGGCCGCCGTGCGCGGAGCCGGCGGGCCGCGCGCAGTGCCGCCCAGGAAACAGTTTGGTCCGCAGCGCCGGCGGCCCCTGAGGCGTTCGAATGGCCGGCGGCCTGCGCCAAGCCGAGGGCACACTGAGGCACACGGAAAGGAGAAGGGCGGCCGCAGAGGATGAAGCCGGGGGGGGAGGCCTCAGACGCAGAGACCACGCCTCGAAGAGCGCACAGGCGACCTCAGACAACGGAGGTCCGTGTGCTCACAGGTTGTGCGAATCAGTGCGAGCTGGCGAGTCGGGGGGGCAGCGCCGGTGACCATCGAGAGGCACGGCCGTCTTCGGATGGGCGGCGGGCAAATGCCAGGACCTTCAGAGGTCGTCTTCGGGGAAATTGGCGATCCAGGTGGTGAAAGGCTTTGCTAGTGTTGAGTCGGGCCTGTCCCTCTACAGGAGGAATATTCAAAAATAGTTAAGATAGTATGGGGACGATGTTTTGAGTATTGTTGGGCATTTTCGGAATATGTTTTGACCATTCTTGTTTCTCATTCAGAACCCCCCTGTAGGGGGACAGGCCCGACCTGATGCTAGTGGCCTCCTGGCGTGGCTGCCGAGGAAGCGCCAGACCGCGGTCCAGCCGCCGAGGTCCCAAGGTGTCCGCAGTACGCTGCTCATGTTGCGGATCATGCTTGCGAGGTGTTTCATGTCTGTGCGTGCCCCTTTCTGCCCGAGCCCCATTCGACGCATCCCTTTCGGCGCATTCTCTTTCATGCTGTTACCTTCTTGATCGTGATGTGGTGCATAACCACCGCCACGCCCTGGGGACGCAGCGTAGCCGCTAAGTAACGTAGCGTGGCTGTATCTTGGCATGGTTGTTGGTCTCTTGGGGGCCTCTTGGGGGCTTCTTGGGCGCATGCATTCTATGTCTCCAGGGGGCCTTGGGGCCTTGGGAGTCTTTTTTGGGCCGCTCGGGGTTTCTTCGGGGCCTCATGGGGATGATTGCGGCTGTTTCTAGGGGGGGGGGGGGGGGGGGGTCGGTCATTTGAGGGGTGGTCCTGGGGATGTCTCGAAAGGTCTTGCGGCCATCTGGTGAAATCTTGGTGCCGTTTGGGGGGCCGGTTTGGGTCCGCTTTGACATGCACTGGGGTTTTCTTTGGAGCCCTCCGCGTGGCCGCCTGGACAAGCGGAGCGCTGTCCCAGGAGGCCCGAAGGGCGTCTAGATGCCAACAGGATACAATGAAATGCTATCCTAGGCGGTGCGCGGAAAAGACATACGCTCCACAGTTGCCATTGTGTGGGTTGCC